CTCCCCCCTCCCTGCAGTTTTTAGATGGGCTTTTAGCCGAGAATGCAGGTCTGCCAGCTAGTTTTTTTGTATAGTCAATTACCCTTCTCCCTCCTTGTTCAACCTCCTTCTTTTATAGTGGGGCAGTGGAAAGGAAAATTTCTGCATGGATTTTTAGAACAAGTAAACCTATGACAGCATAACTGCAGTGTTTCAGCAGTCCCCATTATGGAAATGAAGAGCTTGCACAAGGTCACTGTATTTTCTTGCTGTACTAAAATTGGAGATTTTTTTTGCCAGGCTTCTACTTTCATCTTGAATGTTCTTTGGAAATTTGGTATCAGGGAATAGTTGTCTTCATCTTCTAGGCTACAGAAATGTGACAGGCAGCATTAGAAGGGCATCGGTTGTGTCTTCAACTTTTCCAACACCTATAAAACTTTTGAAAGAGATCTTAATTTCTAAGTGGTATAGTATAAAAGTGGAAAATGGTTTCATCACTGCTCTGGGTTTTGCGGATTGCCTGTCAGTGATTTTGATAAATAGAAACCCAGAGTCGCTTGATTTCCAATTAGAATTTATTACATGATAAAAGCAAATTCAGCACTGGGTGATCAGGGAGGGGTTTCAACAACTCCCAACGCCTGTCACACCCAAAGAAGACAGTTGTTCTACATTTATTTCCAACTAATTAATGAATATTCATTATACATAAGTATTGCACATTATTAAGTCATACATTCAACAGATGTTTTTTCTTAGACAAGAATATTATCTATAAGTATCCATAATATATTGTCAAGTCAGACATTCAGCAGATGTTTGCTTGTTATCTATATAAAGTTATAAATTTTTAAGAAAGGTGCTATTATCTAGCTAACTAAACAAAATTCCTTCACTATAAATCTTACACAAGGTAAAAGGGAGGTAACTTGTTTTATCTCTTTACAGGGGCCCAATTAAGTTTTATGATTTGTTTTTCTTTTCTCTCTCCAGGTCATATTGACCTTACACAATTTTCTTTTAATTAGCCCGAATCATTTTCTCAGTTTATCACAGTGATTTTTGCTGCTGTTTTGATATCTGAATATTAAAGTTGCCATGAGAGAGGCACATGGTGTCTTATCTACTTAGCTGTTCTTGCATGCTGATCTTAGTATTTGTAATGGCAAGGAGCCAAAACTTTCAGATTTGATTTGGTCTTTGCTTTCTACTGCAGCAAACAAGTGGGTGGTTCTGATGAAGTGTCATGTTTTTAAAACTTGAGTGGGCAGCCAAAGAACAAGGTCCTAGGTATGCACATCAGAATAGATGATTTATATCCATATCTACCTATCTATACATGAATAAACTTTAACCTGTTATCTTCTTGGGGTAAATTCAACCAAGACAACCTGAGGATATGACTTGGAACTGAAAGACACTGCATTGGAGCTGTGCTGTCTCCAGTCATGTGTCATTTAGCATTGGCTATTTCTGCAGGCTTCAAGAAAAGCTGTAAGCTTCCTGCCACAGGTAAAAACCAGATATATTGACAAGAGAACATTATACATCTAAACACACAGTAGATTACTTACATTTGAATGAAGGAGTTTAATATCCACCATTTCCCTTTCCTTCTGGCTTGCCTCCCTCCGCACAAAAGTTAGTGGCAAAGTTTATAAAGTAAATAAGGCCAGAATTTTGTCACGACTTGCAGACATACGCTCATGTTATAGAGTTTCAAGAACAAAAAATCTAAACCTTTCCCTTTTCTATATGAATTTTTACCTTCTAGAATTAGTCAGATGTAGCTTTCTCAGAAATCCCTGTTCAGTAGGAGAAAAAGGAGTGTAATGTCTGCCTGCTGCTTAAATTTCTGTAAGAATCTAATGTTTTTAAGCATCTATTGCCTTTGACATTATATGTTATAAATATTTTTCATGTGCAACTCCTATTCTTTAGCCCCTTCTTCCCCACTACTCCTACTCCAAAGGAGAGATTATACATAACTCTTCTGCAGCAATCCAACAAAAGATTACATGTTCACAGAACAGCTTAGCAAAGCTCTGTTCTAAATTCTAGCTGTGGCCATGCCAGTAAAACGTGCTTTAAGACACTTCGTTAATAGTAGATGATGTCCTTTAATTTTAAGTTAGTCAGTTGTGCTTCACGTAACAGTTGGATCTCATTAAATGATTTCATGTAATCAATCTTGTAAGGAAATGGAGAGAGAGATCAGTTGAATTTTTGCAGAAGTAATTATCCTCTTTTAAAAGTTGCAAAAAGGAGAGGTGGGGTGGATCAAGATCTCTATGCTGCTGTGAATCTGTGGTTCCTTTGAAATAGCTGGATAAGGAATCCAGCTACTTCAGTTTAATCAACTTTTATTGGATTATTCAATGTTTCAGATTGATGTATTTCTTTAGAAAACTGTATCTGGATTGAGGGTAGAAAAGAAGCCAAACAATTGAATGTACAATACTTAGAATTTCCAACAGATGGCACTTTATAGCAAGGAATCTTTATTGTCTACCGGAAAGAGAGCAAAAGCAATTGGATGGCTGTGTGCACTGACATCCTAAAGTCTGCAAGAGAAAAAACGTAATACCCTTAAATCTGAGAGTAGAGTTCTATAAAACTGAAGGAACAAAGAGGGAATCTATAGCCAAACAAAAACGCTCAACTAACATTCTGTCTCAGATATTAATCACACTGGCATGTTCTTCCCAAAGGCGGAATATTCCCATCTTCTTTTCTTCTCACTTACAGCTAAACTGAAAGACAGCAAAGAAAATATGATCATCAGACTGTGGTTATTACTGCATACAAGCTCAGAAGAAAACAGAGAATACTTTCAATAATATGACTTAGAAAGTCCAGTCTCGTGGAAAGCTTCACAGGCATTTTGATATCTAAAGCTACACAGAAGATTTTTAGAACCACTTATGATCTAAATAAAAAAGAAAGGCCTGGAAGCATTTCAGCCTCTGAGTTACAACCCAATTTACACTTTTGTCTGTCAATATTATCTAAGTAGAAGGTGCTTACTTACGAGATTCACAAAAGGCAAACTGAGAATGACAACATTTAAAAAAATCTATGGGAGCTAAAAGTTATCTTCAGCTACCTGAACAATAGTTCAACAGACAAAGTCAGTCTTCTTGGATATGCACAGAGAAAGGACAAAATGATGTGATCAGATGTGATGATGACATTTCAACAGGATGCAGGGTGTCCTCTTTCTATTAAAGATCCGAGGAACATGTCTTGGTCTGAATCCTCTCACTGAACTAAGTAGTTTGATTTTAAAGTCACCTATGTTTCAGATGTAGAATCTGCTTAGTGGGCAAGCTTCCCATTTTCTAAGTTAATTTATATAGGACTAAGTCAGTAGCCAAAATCAAGCAGTACTTGCTATGCTAGACAAAATAAAAGGAATGTGTAATTCGTAAATCCTGTAAGAGTTTACAGATAAGATATTACCATCTAACGGTATTCACTAGTGTTCAAATTATTCATGCCAACATGTAGAAAATATAGCTACATACATGTACAGTATTTCCAAATCTAAGTGGCATGCAAAAAAATTCTCAGACTTCTTAGCTATATCCTTAAGGTGATGTATGTCAAGGGAGAGTGGAAGGTTTAGACAAACTTATTTAAAAAAAAAACCCTGCTGCTGATCACGAGGTGCAAAAAGGACTCCCTTGCTTTCTGAAGTTCTTCTCGAAGAAGGGTTGAGGTGTGCCTGAAACCTCTCTTAGCCTTGAACTGTGTCAACAGTTTAAATTTAAGGAATTATAGAAGTGTGATTAAAACAGTTTGTCCTGCAAGTTTTTAATAATGGCAAAATGGATATATTTATATAAAATGAATTATCTATTATCGCAAATGAACAGACAAGTGAACAGAAGAAAGATCTTAATCAGAATTATACACTACACAACATAAAAGCTAAAATCTCCTATTAGGGTATCATATAACATAAAGTAACAAAGCTGTAACAAAGCAATTATATTAAAGCAATTGTATCAAAGCTAACAAAAGAAACAATCATTAAGTAGAGATTGGTAGAGATGAGATAGCACACAGATCTTTTAACCCCTGGGGAGTAACCACGAAGGGGCACCTCTACTTCAGGGAGAAGCTCCACACTTCAAGGAAGTGTGTGAAAGAGTCTGCCAAATGAAAGGTGGACCGGGTTTTTATAGTTGTACCAGACTGTATAACTATATACTCTGGTAGTCACAGATTACAGGCAAGCAGACTAGCTTATCTGTCAAATTCTGCTTCAGAAAAGCAGGATTCAAAATCTGGTGAACCAGGCTGGTTTTAGCATAATTCAATACCAAGACAGCACCTGGCACCAGCAGTTGAACTTGCATGATAGCTTGAGTGATGGTTTGCATTGCATGCATTCTCTAATCAGATTCTAGGCCTTATCAGGGTGGGCTATCCTGCTACAACAGGACAAACCATCATTTGTAGGCGCTCAAGTCTATCAAAAGATTTTATACTGAACATTATGTGTTCCAGAAACTTTTCCTGAAATTCATAAAACCTTTTCTAAATCTATCCTCTGTATCTAAGTATCACTAGAAACTCCACACTGAATTTGAAGCCAAGATGTCTGTAATACAGATGAAGTTCTCACTTTGGCACCAGGCTAGGGAAAACGTCAAGTACAGGAAAGGGTAGTGTTATACTTGCAGTGCAAGTACTGGGCCACCAAAATCCATGAAAGGTATATTTCTCTCTGTTCCTGAAGGAGGCATTTTTTTCTGCTGATTTTAATCAAAAAATTTAGGCACATAAGAATGTCATTCAGTGTAGCACCTACCCCACAATAACTTACCTACACCCTACCCCACAATAAACTTCCTCTTTCGTCCGTCCCTCCCTGGTGGTCTGTGTGCTCCTTACACAGAGTCTCAGGGCCACGTGCTGGGGCGGGGGGAAGGGCATTCACCTCGCAGGTAATGGGCTAGCAGCCTAAAGCCTGGAGGTCTCCCCCATCCCACTAATCTGTCGTAATTCAGCAGTCAAGAAACAAAAACGTAGCAGTGAAAATACAGCAGAAATGCAGCAACTACCAGAACCCAAAAGATTTCAAGCCAGGTATTGGCCTTACCAGGCTTTAGAGCTCTCATGAAAACACAGCTGTAATTTTAGTATATTTTTTCACTGTCATTGGTAGCAATAGATTTATCTCTTGCACAGATAAAAACTCCATACCCAGATGAATTGACACACGAGCTGTTCATTCATTTAGAATCAACTGAGCCACATACTTTACTGTTGATTTTAAGACTGATTGATGACTTCGGTGTCAAGGAAAGCCTTACTAATCTGATATTAAAAAACTCTGCTCAGAATGGTGTATTTTACAGTAAATCTGAGACAGAGAGAGATAGAAAGAAATAGAAAAAGGATGGTGAGGGGAAGAAGAGAGTGAGAGAGAGAAAAATAGAAAATATATCGCCACTCCATGTAATCGGGCAGCATCCCATAGGTCCCATTTTTCTGGTCTTCTTGGTGGTGAGAGGGATACCTTGGGGGTCTTTGATTGTTTATGACCCCTTCTCAGCTGCCATTCATGTGAATGCCCCATGTGTACCTAGTCATCCTGGGGGGGTGCGGTTTACTCTGTTTTGTGTGGAGAGATTTTGCCATCACACTCCCCAAACCCTCCTCCTCTGCCACCCACTGAGCTCAGCTAGGGCAGATTCCCTGAGCCTTGTTTACTTCTCCTCAGACCTGAGATGATTAGACAATAGTCTTATCTCAAGCTTCCCTTCACAGTCCAAATTCCAGTCAAGAAGCATATTGAGGAAGAGGGGGTGATTTCAGTGGTTGCAGACAGGCAGTTGCTTTCTTGCAGCTTGACAAAAAGGCTTTCTATGATTTTGACAATGTTTAAGACATTAATAACATCTCAGTCCATCACAGCTGCTTCCAGTCTTCTCCTATTAGTTCTTTCATGTCTAAATCCTTGAAAAATTCCAGACAATGACTGCAAAGAGAGTAGAAATAAACAAAAAAAGTCATAAGTCTTGTAAACATGTCTTAACAAAAGACAGTATTCTCAATACACTCAATTCATCTTTATTTTATGGTTTTCTTGGACAGGAATGTAACCGGCATTTCATGTGTTCATTTCCCAAAATTTGAGTTAATAAATAAAAAACACTACTGTGTTTCTGAAAACCTTGTACTGTGAAGCACAGGGCAAAATATTCAGCTATGAAGAAGTATCACCCAGCAGAAAGTGAAGTTAACAAAGTGCTTGCCTTTTAAACTCCCTCAGCTTATGCTGTCTGGAACCGCTGTCAGAGAAAGAGCAATGACATCTTGCTTTATGACATATCCGCACTCCAGTGGAGCCAAAATTTACAAGTCTTGACCAACTTACAGAGGAAAGGAAGACTGGATGGGATAATGAAGCTAGTAAATATATTTTTTTCAAAAGACTAGAAACCTCATTTTCTTTTAAATACTATGAATCATTTCTTGTTAAGAAGTTTTTCTTTAGGCTATCATACAGAAACAATAGAAGGAAGGCACCAAAAATAAATACTTACATTAAAAAACCACTAAACAGTAAATAGAACATCTGACACCACATTAATAATTTAAAAAGGTGAATGGAACTCTCGTATTAGGAGGTAATTTGTAAGAGTAAAGACAAACTAAGAACAATGAAAGCAGCAAGGAACAGCCTCTTCGCATAATCACATCTTCTACCAAGGTCTGAAAAAGACAAGGGTTTTTTTTGAAAGCAATACTGTAAAAAGAATCCCTTCTTGAAATTATTACAGGCTATTACAGAGAAATAAAAATATCTATTTCTCACAGAACACTGCTAATGTATTTTATTAGCAATAGCTTAGAATTTTTAAAAATAAACAGCTGCAAAACATAAGTTTTTCTTAAAAAAAAGGCAACAAAGCATAATTTACCTATGATTTACCTTACTTGTCATTGTATGTTGTGCGACAAGGTTGCATAAGAAATATAGTCTGTTCTCTAGAGCTAGTTAATTTACAAAAAGTGACCAGAAGTAACAGGTTTTATCAGACCAACCATCTCAGCCACACAGCCAAAGAAAATAAATAAGTCCAAAGCACAATTTAAAAGTCAAGATTCTCTAGTTTTTCTAATGATACTGGGTATCCTTTTATTATGCTTTTTGGTTTAGTCTGCCTTTTCAAATTTTTCTACAGTATGGAGCCATCTGTAGAGGTGAAGTTGTTTAGAACAGTAGGGGAGTAGCAAAAGAGATTTACTGGAAATATATCTGGTGAAATTATCACTAAATGGTACTTCAGGAGGTGCTGGAGGCAAGGGAAAAGTAGAACAACCTATCTATGATTTAGCTCAGGAAGGTGATCAAGCAGATGTCAATAGTATTGAATGCATAGTTTTCTATACACCTAGGGGATAACATGGAAATCAAGCACTGATTACATCTATCTGCCTCAGTGCTTTATACAAAATACAGCACCAATGGATCCAGAGCTAAGCAGTATAATTAAAATACTAGTGCCACTCAGTCCTAAAACTAGATTGGCTTTCTTTAAGTATTCCAACAACAGTGCAACTAAAAGAGCTAATTTTATGTTTACAAATCTGCTTTCTGTCCTTCCTGTAGTTCATTTTGAGGCACAAGATAAAGTGCTTTGTATATTTCCTCTCTTCTTTCGAGCCATGAATTGCAAATCATTGAACTTGTTAGTGCATTTATGGTGGAAACTAATTACAAGGAATATGAGCTTTACCCTCCCATTTGGTTTTCATTATGGTCACCTCAAACTCTAAAGGAAGTTCTTTCTGTTAAAAGAGAGAAAAAAAAAGAGGTAATGTCATCTTTCGATCAGAAAACAGGTACCTAAAAATAGTTAGTTTTTCTGCACATTGTGAATGTACTTTACTACTTACTTTCCATACTTTTCTTCTGCCAGAAAGCAGCAGTAGTAAGTGCTGCCCATGGCTGTCAAAAACCCACAATTTTCTTAAAACGATGTCAAGTTATCAGTGTCAAGTTATTACTGCCACAAAGATGTACATTCCCCATATTTAAACCATTTCTATATCGAGTCTTCCACATACATATATATTACAAGCATTAGAACTAGAGGTGTAAATTAACATTTGTGACTTTTTCAGAGTGCTATACTTATGGACAAAGGTCAACTCCTAAAGAGTGCTCAGTTCTGTCACTTGGAAAAATGCTTCTACAACTAAAAAAAACCCCCAAACCAGGCTGTCAGTATTTTATATTAACTAATTTGTAATGTCCTGAGATCTTCATATCTCATTAAAACCATTCTGTTTTCAAGATTTTCAAGCCAGAGTTTGACTTGCTTGTGTACATGCTACTGACAGTTTTTTTAACTATTCAAAATGCTGTGCTATAATTCTAACTTCAGGATCTTTTCTTTTTCATGCCTCTTATCAAAAAATGTGTTATAAAGTACTGTACTAATTTTATTAACTTTACCAACTCCAGCTTTGAAAACACTCACCTTGATACAGGAGAAAAATAAGGCAAATCTAGTAAGATTAGCTCTCCCTGGAGTAAGAAATGCATAAGCATAGAGTTATTTCATCCTGTATGCTTGCTGTGAACAAAGCTGGCCAAGACAGAGTAATCCTACTCAATCATACTCTCAGCAGGAGGCACTCGAGGTAGAGCACTTAAGTGTGTAAGTCTTGTGTTTGCTTGTAGCCTGAGGATTCAGAGAATCAGACACTTACAGCAGAGCACACACCCCAAAACTATGACTGCTAAATCTCAGAAACAGTGAGAAAACATTTAGCTCTTAAATGTTTTTTCTCTGTAGATGGGTGACATTTTGGACAGAGGATTACTGACCAGGTATACCTGAAAGCCATCTATTACAGAATCATAGAATATGATGAGTTGGAAAGGATTCACAAGGATTATTCAGTCCAGCTCTTGTCCCTGCACCAGACCGTTCCCAAGAGTCACACCATGTGCCCAAGAGTATTGTCCAAACGCTTCTTGAACTCTGTCAGGCTTGGTGCTGTGACTTCCCTAGAGAGCCTGTTCCAGCACCCAACCACCCTCTGGGTGAAGAACCTTTTTCTAATATCTAACCCAAATCTTCTCTGACACAACTTCAGGCCTCAGTTATTACAGTTGAATCACATTTCAGGAACACAAAGTAGAACTACAGCAGTGTTTCTCACATAAAATTACAATGGTGTTCCACACAGCAAGGACATTATTAGAAACCTTTAGTTAGAATTATGATTAAATATGACTGATATATTTATTTTTACACAAGCCTATTATCATAATATCAAAGAGGTGCTAATACTGTTTCAGTAGAGATTTAATCAGAATAGCTCAATAATTAGGAAGTAGAGAACTTCTGGAAACATTTAATTCTTGCATTACTCAAAGCAATGAGTAAGAGTGACAGGAAAAGGAGAAAAAACAGCATTACTATAGAATTTTCCCCATTACATTTGGGTACAATTTTGAATTGTATTTTTTGAGCTGCAACTTCTGTGTTTTACACCTTCCTATTCCTCAAAGAAACTTTGGAAAAGCAATTAAAACACTTTACTTCTTAAAGTAGAAGTAGAATCTATCTTTAGGATTTCACTTTTACTTAGTTCCTGCAAAGGAATTTATATATATATGCTACAAAACTATTTTGATATTCAAATATGTCAAGCCTCTGATAGTCCACAAGTTATATCAGTTACCCAAAAACTAAGTTTGAGTGCATATACTATCGACAAGATCAGGAAGAGTCAACTTGAACATCACTGAAGTCAATTCAGCTCAATACATTCGCTTCTTTTCCCAGTCGTCTGAATTGTTGCACTACTACAGACCTACAACTCATGGTTAGTAGTGCCAGTGATGAAAATCAATTCCCTACCTACAAAAAGAGCATCACTCCTGAGTCAATCTGGAGTAGTTTTCATCTGAATATAGCAGGAGGCTTATAGTTACTTGAGGAGCTATTTAAGGGTAAGGCAGTGATTACAACTGCATTCTTTCCCAGTATTCTTTCACAGACTCCTCAGGATATAGCAGAAAGGAAAATTTTTACTTTACATTTTAGGTCTGACCTGTAAAAGCAGTACTGTGACCAAAGAAACTGGATTAGATATCATACAGACACAACTGTTAGATCAGTTTGAAAAAACAACCATTAAAGACACTTAAATAAAGACCAGGCATATTAACGGCAGAGAAACATCAGTGTCTACAGAAATCAGATCTATTTGCAGCAGAACAGTTACACTTACCCTCATAATCCCACAGCCTATCAAAAGGTTTCCCTGACTCTCCAAGTGGTGCTTGAGGGTCATTACAGAAGGGACCATGAACTTCCATTAGCAGTCCTGCATTGTCTGGCCTCAGCTGAATCATAACCAGGTTATGGCTCACAGGTAAACCATCCCATGTGTGTTTAATTCTAAATTCCACATACTACATAAATGAGAAAAGAAAGTTCTGTCAAAGAAGATCTCAGATTCCATGCTTACCCAGGAAAAAAAAGACATACTTTTGTACAAAGCAAAAAAATAATGTTTTTGACATCAAAACTGAAATAGATTAGCTTTGTAAAACCACTAAATAAAAAGTTACATGAAGGCTTCTTCCTATAGGTTTTTATACCTGCAGGGCTACAAATCACTCTGAAGTCTTATCAGGCATAAGGCTTTTCAATCAAGCATCTAAACCTTCCAAACTCACTAGAAATATTTATCAAGAGAACAGATAAACAAAACAGTCTCCATATCATGGTCTTAGAAGATTTGGTGACACGAGAAAAATAGATTGAGAAAAACCTTTAATGAATGTTCGAGATACAAGAAAATGAAGCAATTAGCTAAAGCTTTTCTTTGTGGTCATTGCAAAAGAGACAAACTAAGGGATTTCACAGAAAACTGCAAGCGCATCTTGTTGAACACACTGAATGTTTGCAGAGCAGTCAGAATAGAGGATACTGCAATGAACAGCTGATGTTACTTAGAAATAACTGTACAAGCCTTAAGAATAGCCTCAATCTATCTAATAAGCAAAAGAACCAGTGGTACCCAGTTTACAACCATTTTGTGGCCTGTTACTCCTACCCTTCTCAATATTATGAGTTCATGCCCATCTCTACAAAAAGTATCCTTGACTTGTTTCCTTACTCATCTCCCAGCCATAGGAGAGAACTGGCAGTGTGTAGCCTGACTGAGAATTATGCACATGCTGTCAAATCCTGTGACTAGAGAGGTGCTGGCTCTGTAGCTAAATTGTAACCACATTCCTTTCAGCTGGAAGCACTAGATTGGGTTACTTTATCTCTACTCAGATACCCATTTTCTTGGGAATCACAGACCTTGGCCACAGCAGCGTTACACCTCACCAGCAAGGAGACAGGTACTGTCATTGCCTCATGTTTCACCTTACCAAGGGGATTTGCCTCTTCCATCCCAAACTGACGGCAAAAAGGGTAGAAACAAGCAGGAAGGAATAAACTGCTCTGTTTATTAGTTGCTTCCAGGGGGAAAGTTGGAAACTGAATCAGAGACAGCAGCTTTTACAGTATTTAAGATTTCATTACTTGAATCACAGAATCAATTAGGTTGGACAACTGTTCCTGGAGGTTTTTAAGGAAATGGATGTGGCACTTAGTGCCATGGTCTAGTTGACATGGTGGTGGTTTGCTCATAGGTTAGACTCGATCTCGAGGTCTTTTCCAACCTAATTGATTCTGGGACTGCCATCCCTAGTGCAGCTTAAGACTGTACCGTCTCGTCCACTCGCTGACTGACTGGGAGAAGAGGCCGATCCCCACTTGGCTACAACCTCCAACAGGCGGTGCGGGCTCCACATCGCTCCCGCTTTCGGTTCCCGCCTCTGCTACTCTAGCCACAAACTAATTTCCCGAAGGGGAGTTTAACGCGTGAGGGCCCACCTTTAACCCACAAACTCCTCAAGCGAAATTTTAACGAGGGATTTCTTACACCTTCAGACACCCCTCCGCTGTGGCTCCCTAAAAAAAACCCGGCTTCACATGGAAACCGACAGCCTCTAACACCACTCCCCCCCCACAACCGTAGAGCCCCGCCCTGTCTGGGCTCCACGTGACCGAGGCCGTCGCTGAGGGCGGGGCGGAGGCGCTGGCTGACGGCTGTCGTCCTGTGCTGCTGTGAGGCTCCGCCGTCGGGTTTGGAGGTGGCTGTGGTGGCACTGGGGCTGTTTTCCTCCCGGGGCTGAGGGTAGGGAGCGGAGGGACAGCTCCACTCTCCGGTCCCGGCCGAGCGCGTCCCTCGGTGAGGAGAGCCGGTCCCCGGCGTCCGCGAGTTGCCGCCTCCACCCATCCAGAACGGCTCTCGCCTTCCCTGCTCGCGAGCGGCTGGAATAAGTGACTTTTCCCCGGGTGTTTGACGAGGGGAACTCTGCGGTGGGAACGCGGGCACAGCCAGGTGAGCGTTGGTGGCAATGAAAATTTATATTCTTCATCAAGTAACAGCGTGAATAGTAGTTTTAGTTAACTAAACACTAGTAATTAAAAGCTGCTAATTACGGTAGTAGCCAAAACCACATGCGTTTCTGTGTCAATGCCTCGTTAGTTATGAAACCACGGCATTTCCTATGCTTGGCTTACACCCCAGAGGTAGAAAAAGCTCTCTTGCTGTTTACTTACGAAATTTGCTTTACAGACTAAAATCAGTATTTTCAGTTACACGATACAATTTTGATAGTTTTAATATTTCTTAACATGACAATCAGACTACACCTTAGCAAAATACTGGCAAAAAGAAGTTGCTTCTGCACAGCTTATATTCCTGTAAGTATGGATTGATGTTTCTCTTATTTCATGAATGTAAAATAAAAGTTCTAAAGCACTGAATGTGTGTAATACACCTAAAAAGAGATTCTCTAAGCAGTACTGTATTTAATGTTTTAGAATAAGTATATGTTGTGTTAAATATGTACCTGTAAAGAAGGTTGTTGGAGTGAAATTCTAGTGTCTGGCACTGATCAGTTTAAAAGTTGGGTTTTACCTGAATGCTTTTTGAAGTATTAGCATCCAAAATTAAAAATAATAGTCCTCCATTATATTACATATTTTTGTGATGCACTGGAACTTTACCAGAATGTATTTAATGATTCAGGGTTGAAGATGAGCTTCTATAAGGGATGTGTAAAATTTACCCCCTTTTGCACCTATGGCCTCTGATGTTTACATACTTTGGCTGGTAAGGGCAGCAACTTTCCCCTTCCTGTTCCTTACATTCTTTTACTGTTACCTCCTTTCTATTGCCTCTATCTTTTTCCTATACCCCCCTTTAGAAGATTAGAACTAGAAAAAGAACCATGGGATATATATCAAGAAAAATAGTCAAGAAGTTGTGTAAATCATTCTTCATTCCCCATTCCAGTTACAAAGGTGTTACTCAGATTCTTACAAAATAGAATAAAATATTTCATTTGGAAGAAACCTACAACTATCACCTAGTTGAACTGCCTGACCAATTCAGGTCTGGCCAAAAGTTAAAGCATGTTCTTTAGTGTAGTGTCCAAATGCCTCTTAAACATTGAGAGTTTTAGGGCCTCAACCTCCTCTCTAGGGAGTTTGTTCCTGTGTTTGGCCACCATCTCAGGAAAGAAGTGCTTCCTAATGTCCAGTCTAAACCTTCCCTGGCGCAGCTTTGAACTGCTCCCAGGCACCCTATCACTGGATACCAGGGAGAAGAGCTCAGCACCTCCCTCTGCATTTCCTCTCCTCAGGAAGGAGTGGAAAGCAGTGAAGTTGCTCTTCAGCCTCCTTTCCTTCAAACTAGACAAACCCAGAATCCAGCTAATTGAATCTGATACACAATGCGATTTGTTGCCCTTAGACCTTGCAAATCATGAAGATATATATGTGTTTGTGTGTTTTCTAGGCAGAAACTTCATTTTTTAGAATTTCTTAAAACAGAAGGAATATGAAAGGAATGGAATTCATTATTATTACAGTCTCTGTAGGCTTTTTCAAATCCTATTTTCTTTTAAACAATTTTGCTAAATAGAAGAATTTTAGAAACATTTTTTTTGCCCTCAAAGCACTATACTGTTAAACATATTTCTGACCGTCAGTCACATTTATGTAATAATGTGTGATGTTGTAACCACGATTCTCAAACTTGGTATTTTTCAAATCCGAGGCCAAATATGGCACTTAGACACTATGAAGCAGATGAGATTTATTTTAAGAGTTATTGCTGAGCAGGTATATGAACTCAGGAATGGAAGTAGTAAGAATTTTTGCAATGAGGTTTTGCAACAAACAACATAGAGCACAGCTCACTTCGACATGACCTGGCCCTGCTTTGGGTCTGTCACACAACTCAAGTTGCTTATTGTTTTTACAAGCAGAAATAGCAGAACAAAACTGTCCTAACAGTGAATTATGGTATTTTTGGTGCATTTTCAAAAGTTTTCCCTGAAAGAACATTTGATTTGTAACTTTTTTATTTTTATAGACTTCTCTTTTCTAATAGATTGGTCTCATGCTGAGGTAACTTTTTGTGCTGGGTACCATAAGCCTGTCTGAAAGTCTGTGCAGAATTTAGGGCATCAGCACATTCCTGGTGCTAAGGTGCATGGAAATGGACTTAGCACTTAGACAAACTTATGATTGTTCTTTTAAGATTGAGGTGGTTCCCCTTCAGATGCAATTATGCTTTATATCAGATAATTCCAGGAAAAAAAATACTATTTTTACATATTTGGCCAGAACACTAGGGGTTTTAAACGTAAACCTGAAAGTGATTCTGTAAGATATTGTGTACAATTACAGTACAGACAGTTTTGGGTTACATGTAAAAGCTTAAAACTACATACAGTTATGTGCAAGTACTAATATGTGAATAATTCCATTAATATGTGAATAATTCCATTACAGAAAAATGCCCTTGGTGGTGATGACCTATTAGGATCCAGGGTGATGGACCAAAGGAACCAAAGGTAACTGATTTCAAGTGATAAGCTGGAGTGCTACAATGGATTTGAATGCTCATAGAAGTGTCAATATCCAGGTAAACTGGGTCTTATGTACAAGTGTTCAAAGGTCTGAGAAATTATGAATGGAGTCTGTAGAGGTGTTACTGTAGCAGTTGTGTTTAGATAGTAGTGTATTTATTCAGGAAATTAAATTACTGACTTTCCTTCCACAATCTTGAACATAAAGGATGAGAGATGAATGAAGGAATTCTCTACTCTGAATCTTAAGATAATAAACAAAAGTTCTGGTAGGATTGCACTGATCCAGGTAACCCAGGTAGCTGCTGTCTGTTGAGGTCAGGTGGATGTTTTTAAAAATGTTTATTTGACAGTCTTACACTAACAGTTGCCCATCAGGAAATGGTTTCATAATCACTGTAATTTCATGTTAGAAAAATAACCGAGCCTTTCTTGTTAGCTTTTAAGGCATTATTACTTTAGACAAATATAGAATTTTCAGAGAATTACTTTCAATTATGAAAATATTAGGAAGGAAAAAGTATAGAAGTAGAATTACAGTATTTTACATTGTCTTATGGGCTACCTTAGTGTTGTATGTGAAAACAGCAATAAAGTCTAGTCTTTTAACATTTGGAATTCTATGTATGAAAGATTAATGTTGTATTAATGGTCCCATGTTCTAGTTCTGTTATACAGAACTCGTGCTGTTAATGATCATAGTTTAAAGGTAGTAATTAAATTTATTCATTAGATTCTGGGGAATGTCAAGCTTGGAACTCAAGAAAAGTGACTGTTCCGTTCTGGTCTCTAGATTAAGAATTCTTTAAAAATAGTTAATTATCAGAATGTTTCAGCATTTACAAAACTTATCCTAAGCATGTTTTTCAACTTTTTAGCTTGTCAGCTCTAGTCACAGAGTATGATAAACACTTGGACGAAATGAAAGAACAGCTGCAGCTTTATCAGGTATGGACATTCCTAACATTTCAGACTGTGTGTTGTTAGTGGTCTTAATATCTAGGCCACTAGTTCTTGTCATGCTCCACAAACCTGCTGGACTGCAGTCTGCCTCAAGCAGATGAATGGAGAGCTTTCTGTGAAAAGATTGGGACATTGTCCAAATTGCAGCAGTTTACTGTTTGGAGAAGCAATGTGGTGAAATGAAACATGCACACATTATTTCTCTAGATGCTCTAATATGGTTGCAGGCATATTTCTGGGTAACATTGAGACAAGGTAGCTGTTTCCCTCTTTCCTTCCAGGTCTGATCTGATGCAGTCCAACTCAGTCCTGCAAGTATGGAATACACCCAGCCTTCTTCATTCCTGTTAATTCTTCAGATTCAAATATTTCTTTAAATGTGTATTATCATGGAGACTGAAGTGGAAGGGAACTGTCCTCCATTCTGTCACAGAAAATGAAACTTTTTAATGCTTTGTAACATGACTGAAAAATGAAGTGATATGTTTAAAACCTGTGGCATACAGAAAGCAATTTTTTACTTGTGATCTACACACAGAAATTATACAGTGCTTTTGGTTTAACACACTGAATTTGTTTGATCTGTCCATCATAAAGATTTTGCAAATAAAGTCTTCAAGCTTGGCTGATTTCAGAAGGCAGCACAAGCAATAAGGTTTTGTTGCACTAGTTAACGGAACAGCCAGTTTGATTAGCGTTAACTGAAGTTTCTCCTCAGTTTCCTAAACTTTTCTCAAATACTTATGGCATGAAAGATGAGAGGTATCCACTGTGCCCCTAAAAGAACTTGAGTTAATTAAAAATCAAACTGTAAGACTGATAAGAATTTCAAAAGGTTAAGATTAATGCCTGAAATAACATCTGAATGCTGAGGTATAATAGGACTTTGCAGCTGTTAAATTTAAGTGGCATCCCTTAAGAAAGAAATTGACTTTAATTTACTGTATTATGCTGAATTAAGTTGTCCATCCTTTACAGTATCACTGAGAAATAAAAGATGAAAGAATTACCAGAGTTTGTGTAACTTAAATGAATGCTTACTCTTGTATGTATTGGTGTCAGGTACAAATGAGCGAGATGAGGCTAAAATTGGAAGAAGTCACCAAGGAAAATGAAAGGTAAATAATTGCACTGCCGTATTACTACTGCTCTTTCTCTTGATTTCTGAACATTTAAAAGCCTTTTTTCTAGAACCTTGAAATCTTTGAAATCTTCAACTACTAAGTAGATTCAGGATCTTAATGTTATAGTCTTAAAATGCTTAATACAGATTACAGCACCAGGTATAGGAGATTTAACCATATCACTAGAAGAACTAGATATGAAACTATTTCAAACTGTCTTTTGTGTTTATAGAATGTAACTTAATAGATTTAAATTTGACTAAGAA